CCAACCCAAACCATTCTATGATTCTCTTCTGAATTCAACAGGGGCCCAGTAATTGCTCTGAAAGCAGGACAAAACACTCCATGCAAATTGAAGCACAACTCTTAAAAATACTGTAACATGGTCACCTCAGTACAGAACTATGGTTAAAAATCTCTAATAAAACTTAGCTAAATATCTACTGTGCAATGCCATCATAACTAAACATAGTGTACAGATTGCCAACTGTTTTACGATTTCTAATTACTGATTTGACTTATCCTAAATGAATCCAGAAGAGTAATAGCTAGAAAAAATCTTGTGTTCTATCAAATGTGTTGATATAAAATAACTGAGGTAGGTAAACATGACACTTCGTAATGTTTTATATGGATGTTTTGAATGGTCTTTGTAGTTTCTGTGTTTTAAAAAAGTTAACATGCAAAATTATCCTCTCTGTGTATGTTTGTACATATGTATGTGTTTGCAAGGGAAATCTTCATGCTGTTTATCTTGTGTTTTGCAGACAAAACCTGTTGCATTTGCTGTTCGGACAAATGTTGGCTACAGTGCAGCTCACGATGACGATGTTCCAGTCCCAGGCATGGCCATCTCATTTGAGGCTAAAGATTTTCTTCATGTTAAAGAAGTAAGTAAAACTCTACATAAGGAATTGAATGTTCTTTGAAATACTGTTCTCATAAAAGCAATTGCACAAATTACTTAGAATCAAATTAATTAAGTTTGGAAAGGAAGTGCTTTTCTTCTCTAGTAATTATCTCTTACTTGGAGCTTTAAAAATCTCTATCTGCATATTCAGTGATATAATAGCTGTGGGTTTTACCATTCCATGACTCTGAGGTTTCATTGTGTTTCAACAGCCAAGGGTTGATTCTGTTTTATTTGTGTGATTAATCTTAAAAAAATAAATCCTTAGGTCTCCTTTTTTTCACTGAGGTTTCTTCCCTGGCACAGACAATATTTTATTGTTAACAGTTACATACTGAAAATCTGACATGATAGCTTTCAAGATGCACATAGCCACTGTCAAAAAAGGTGCTTTGTGTTTGCTGTATTGGTTTTCCCTATAGTTTGGCTTTGAAAATTTTCAAGTTTTACGTTCTTGTTCTTTGTCTGCTCCTTGCACGATGATCCAAAGCATATAACTTGGTAACTTTCATATACAAACCTTCCTAAGCAGCCTCCTGCTCCCTTCTGAATGATTCCCTCATTTTACAAGATTTCCCAGCTTCTGGTCCTATTCCATTGTGTTTTGTCAAAAAAACATCTGGAAGTGGAAATTTATAACAGAAGAACTAGAAAGTTAGCTTAAGGATGAGAGCAGTTTAGCCATACATTTGAAATTATATCTTTGCCCCTTTTTAGATTATTGAAAAATCCCTCAGTAGTTATGATTGGTAATGCACAATGATTCTGTTAGTGCAGGTGCTTTGTGGAGCAAGAAACATTCCTAATACACAGGTAGAAATACACGTGGGTATTGGCAGTGGCTGTTGCAGCTGTGCAAATCAAACCTCTTTAGGAGGGTGCCCTGAGCACTTGTCTTCCCTGCACAGACATATTCTCTCCCTCCATTTTCCATGGCCATGCCCCACTTGCTCATCAGGGCTCTGTATCCCACCAGATATTCAGTGGGATACGTCAGTAATTTTGGTGCTCCCTATAGTTAATGCTGGGAGAACTGAAATGTCAAAAAAATAATTATTTATGCAGATGAAAAGTAAAAAACCTAACTTGACTATAAAATACAGTGTTGCTTTTATATTTTATACCTAACTGGTTGATAGAAATAAAGAAATTTAAGTTCTCCGATAACTTTTGCCTCCATAGTAATGCCGTATTGGATCAATGCTGTTTTCTTCTCTGTGAGGAGTGTTCTCCAATTTTTGCTGCTGAGAGGGCTCAAACAAGAAAAACCTCAGTTCAAAATGTACATGGGCAATGGTGAAAAGTACTGCAGTGATTTTAGTATGAGCGTAATTTATTCTCACTATTAGGTTACATTCATTAAAACTCAGTACATATATAGATGAAGGATTCTTTCCTGCATGAAGAAACAGGCACTGCATCGTAGTCACTCCTGAATCTTTTGAGACTTTAATGCATGGCCATAACTCTGCTTTGCATTTAATTCATATTTGTGTTTCCCTTGGCACTCCGAGCACAGGTGAATTACAGAGAATCACTTACCAAGCCAGCACCCTGAGAGCTGGACACCTTGCTACCAAGATTTGCACTATTGCTTTTTAAAATTAAAAAGTATTATGGGCGGCAATATGTACTTGTAAAACTATCTTATCCTTCTTTAGCATTTAGCTTTGAGACTTTGCAGGAGTGAATTCCATATGCTTTTATTTTTGTATGAAGAAAAAATTCCTATGGATTTAGCATTTCTATCAATTAGATAGAAAGTAGTATGTTGTACTGTAGCACAGCATAAAAGAAGTAATGGCTGCTGAGATTTTAATTTAATGGTGTTTTTTAGAGTATCTCTCTTTGTTTTACTAAGTTAATGATAATACTTCTGCAGACTTCATGTATATCATAGACCAGTTCCATATAATGCCAACCTCCATCTATATTGTCCTACAACATATTTTAAATGTATATGCTTATCTTTAGTTAGCATTTTGCAATTAAAAGTTATGATTTTAGTAATATGTTTCAGTCTCATACAGCTTTGAGAAAATGCTATTCCAGATTAGCTCCCTATTAAATGTTGGTATTCTTACTCATAAAGGCATCCCATCAGATGAATATTATAGATCATAGAATGGTTTGGGTTGGAAGGGTCCTTAAAGATCATCTAGTTCCAACTCCCCTGCCATGAGCAGGGACACCTTCCACTAGACCAGGTTGCTCAAAGCCTCATCCAACCTGGCCTTGAACACTTCCAGGGAAGGGGCATCCACAACTTCCTTGGGCAACCTGTTCCAGTGTCTGACCAGGCTCACAGTGAAGAACTTCTTCCTAATATCTCATTTAAACCTACCCTCTTCCAGTGTAAAGCCATTACCCCTTGTTCTGTCCTTAACTGCCTTCATAAAAAGTCCCTACCCAGCTTTCTTGTAGGCCCCTTCAGATACTGGAATGCCTCTATACAATCTTCCCGGAGCCTTCTCTTCTCCAGGCGGAACAGCCCCAACTCTGTCAGCCTGTCCTCATAGGAAAGGTGCTCCAGCGCTTGGATCATCCTCATAGCCTCCTCTGAACTCGTTCTAACAGGTCCATGTCTTTCTTGTGTTGAGGGCCCAGGACTGGATAGTTCTGCAGGTGGGGTTTCATATAAGATCCCTTTATATATCAGAGCTTAAAAGTACAATTATTTTTATCTTTTTTTTTGTTAGCTACATATCTTAAATGTGGCTTCAAGCATCACGACATTTCTATAGTAGCCAAAATAAAAGATAATATCGAAATTTAAGTTGTGTATCATTGATCCACCAACGTTGTATTCTTGGCAAAATTAATTCCTTTTTATGGGAGCCCACACATTTTACATCTTTTACTCCTAACTGTATACTTGTTAAAATTACTTATTAAATAATTAAATATGCACTATAATATCTACATTCATAACTTCAGATTCAAGAAGGCAACTTCTCTTCCCATTCAGTTATTCTCTTACAGTTTCATAAATAATGCAAATTACCCAAAGTTCATATTTGGCACTAGGTGTTCCCATGGAACATCTAGGGTATTACATGTGGGGTCATACATAACAGTGACGTATTGTCATCCAAAAATAGTTAATAAATAATAAAGGAAAAAGCAAATAGTTCTGCTCTATAGACCTCTGCAAAATAAACAAACAAAACCCTCTATATGTGTATGAATAAATATAATTCAATTAGAGTAGTTGTTATCTCGTATTTCATATAGCTGAACTTCAGTTAATTGGGCTATCTTGTGCATTTGCAGAATTGTAGGAGTTTTTTTTAGTTATCCAAAGATACCCATTCCTTGTGGATCTATCATTTTATGTTTAAGATGCAGATCACATGCACTGTATGCAGTAGAGCATATATAAGCAGGGGAATGTAGTCATATTTCAGAAGACTTTAGTGAGTTCAGAGAAGTGGGGGAGTTTAAGTAGTATTTTTTATTTTAAGTAGAAAACTGAATATAATGGAATAAGAAAAATAGATTATTACAGAACTGTAAAAATTGTTACAGTGAGTAGGAGCGGATCGGAAAAAATCTCTGTTGTCCACCAAGGAGAAACATCGAGGGAGAGCAAAAGGAGCTCTCATGTATGAGGGGGAAAGACTGTGAAGCAGAAAAAAATAAAGATGGTGAAATGAGTAGAAATAACTGCCAGGGAGAATCATGAAGTCTGTGAAGGAAGGTTTCTGCTTAAGTACTGTAGCATTTTAATAATTTTCAAGGTATAATTATTTTAATGTATTTCTGAATATTACCAGAATTCTTAATTGCCATAATAACATAGTACAGTGATTAACTGCAGGGAAGAATTACATAAAATGGCTTAGCTACAAATTAAAAATAATAACAAGATTATCCCAAATACAGTAATTTCCTAGTACTTTACTTTTGTTTTTTTCCCCTATCTGTAGAAATTTAATAATGACTGGTGGATAGGACGGTTGGTAAAAGAAGGCTGTGAAATAGGATTCATACCAAGCCCAGTCAAACTAGAAAACATGAGGCTGCAGCATGAACAAAAGGCAAAACAAGGAAAATTCTACTCCAGGTAATAACAACAAATCATTAAAAATAGCAGCATTGTTTGTGACGCAGCTTTGAAGTTAATGCTGTATATGCTATAGTTCTGTTTAATTATTGCAGTTGGCAGCTGCAAACATTTTGAATCAATGAAGGAAGTAATATTTCTTTATATAATTAATATAATTACCATTTGAGAGAGAAAGTAGATATTTAGATTGGGGGTCTATGATGGCCTACAATGTCTATTATTCCATGTTTTTTCTATAAAATGGTTGCAAATATACATTGCAATTAGTACATTAACTATGTGCAAGCACAATTTGTGACTTAAAAATTGATCTCCCTAAATTCTTTAGCATTTGTTACTTGTTTTCATGATCTTGCATTTTCTAAAAACTTTTAAAGCTGATTTTAGAAATTATGGAAAATGTTAAGATTAATCTGCTTGTAAGCTGAAGCCAGTGCCTGTTAGTTAGCTGTTAGGAGAAAAAGTGTTTTGGTCCTGTCAAATTCATTTCCCACAAATCCAGCTTTTAAAATACTGGATTTTGTGATGAAAGTTTCATGTCAAGTCATTTACTGTCTCTGACTGCAGACATCGTTGCATAAAAATAAAAATTCAGGATCTAAATGTATTAAACAATACTGCAAGATGGTAATAATGTCATCGTTATTGTAGAATTCTTAATAAAGTAGTTTTCCAGTAAACATTAACACAAGGGGGAAGGAAATACCACTTGCTTCCCTTTGGGTATACAGGAAATAAATATTTCCAATATGTCTGAGGGGGATGGACCTGGAATTGAGAAGACAGCTGGGAAAACATTTGGGAAGCCAGAAAGGCTTTCCTACTTCAATAAGAAGGGCGGCAGGGTTTGAAGAGCATATCTATGGTAGGAGGAGACCAGGATGCTGCAGTGCTCAGTTGCACTTGCCAGCTGTGAAATGCCTTTTCTGTGAGTGTGCTGTCCTCAGCGGGAGGATGTCAGATTCCATATGCCTCTTATGATGCTTCTAATACAGCCAAATCTGACCCAGTGATTCAGTCCCTTTCCAAATTGTAAAGGCTTCCACTCTCTGGAACGTCTCACTGGAAATAAGACTGTCTTTACACCTCAAATGCATTAACTTAGAGCTTATTATTATTTTAAGATGGAGAAAGTGGAAACTACTACTATCACATTAATTACTTGAAGACTGAAATAGCCTTTCTTACTTTCTTTTCAGTGCTTTTCTTGTTATGGTAACTGAAATAAAGTGACTAAAAATATTGTTTAATTTTCACAGCTTGGATGCATTTTCACAAAGCAGAACTTGACAAAACCCTAGACTGCTTTATCTTTGTTTGAGATTTTTTTTCTTAAGTGCTGCCTTGTATTGAGACAGCAAAAGTATTTTTACTTTAATTAGTTGAAAAGATGTTAGACAAACACACTATCAGTTTCATTAGGGAGCTATCAATAACCCTTCTGTTAAAGGAAACAGATATGCTCACTGGCTTAAGAATTAATCTTAGTAATGAGTAGTAATATTTTTAATTATATATCAGTAACCATATTAATAATTGGATCGCATTAAGATAACACGATAGTGAGAGCATATGCAGCAGAATGGAGTTGCACAGCAGAACTAGGAGCATGGTTGATGTTTGCAGTTCTCAGTCCTCAAAATGTATACACATTTTGTTTAAGATGTATAGTTTAAACCACTGCCAGAAATACTGTTTATCTCTCGGCTGGCAGTTCATTTAGAAGGCAAGTAATAAACTGAATAAATACTGAGAAAGCTGTGATTTTTTTTTTTTTTGCTTTACTCCAGTAAATCAGGAGGAAACTCTTCATCCAGTTTGGGTGACATCGTTCCTAGTTCCAGAAAGTCAACGCCTCCATCATCTGGTGAGTAGGTCATGAACCCTTTCTTTTACAGACTCATGCACCTAATCGCACCTAATCCGTTAAAATTTATATACATTTAATCCTATTTTTCTTATTCCCTGTACTTCACAGGTATAAGTTTGGGTGATTGCGTTGCCCTAGAAGGCTGGTTTGGGTAGATTTGACGTAATGGAGTCAATGCCAGCAAGTTTGGGCAATGATAGGGCTGTTAACAATAAAAAATTTTCCCTGTTTTCTTTTTCCATGATGTTTTATAGCAGAGTCGTAATAAAATGATGAGACCACACTGCAGTAAGATAG